GATATTTCTTCTTTGCATGTGAATGATTTTCAGTGATATTTACAAAGCTGCTTTTTCATTAAATACCAAATACAATTTTATTATTTTGCACAGAAGTTCAATATTAAATACAATAAAGAAATAACCCTTACATGCATGTGTGGGAAGTGAGAGGATTCCATTATTCACTGCAAAGGGCTGTGAACACATTATTGCCTTCCTCTGCAGAAACCTGGCTGAAACTATAGTGCTCTTGGATCAATTGCAACTGTCTCAATTTTCCAGTAGCTTTTTCTCTTGCAAGTGAGTGACTGTACTTCGTTACATGCTGCAAATAGTGTGTACTCCAGAACTGGAATGCACAATTCATTATGTACAAAGGAAAGTCTAATAAATTCATATTTGCCTTTGTAAAGCAAAGATTTTTTTATTTGCTCAACTGTATATCTGATGTATACTTTGACATTATCATGAATAAATTCTTTAAAATAAGGTGAAATATTCAAAAAAATAAGAGTCTTCATTTGAACAATGCAGAGTGGATATTTGGAGTTGAGGTTCATGGAATATTTCTCTGTGATGCTCAGCAAGTTCTGTCACTGTATCTTCCCAATCTGCCTTATTAAGTACAAACCCTACCTCTATGATGCCTTTGTATCTGATTCTAGCCCCATTCCAATGCTTGCTGTACTAGGAATACCTTGCCACTGCAAGGATATCCCAGAATTGACTGGTATCCTTGGGACCAGAGCACAGACAAAGTACTGTTAGCCCAGAAATGTCCTGCATGGTTCCTAACATTTGTCTCACAAATGGTAGACAAAGGAAAATTGGCATCTTACTTTGCAGGCAGGGACTTGGAGGCCCTGATGTTTGGGCTGGTGCAAAAACAGAATACTCTCTTCCTCCAGGAACAGAAAAGGAGGCATCAACACCAGACCATGCCAGCATGGTCTGGGATTAATGCCCAGATCAATGCTGCCTCAAAAATCTGAAAGAATGCCCAGCAACATAAGGAGAAGGTCAATGATCCTCTCCGGTCTACCAACGTAAGTACCACCATCTTCTCTCTGCTACCTTACACCAACTCTAACTCTGCTATTATACCCACTTCCCACCAAGTCTTATACTCTACCACTCTTACTACTGCCTGAAAACTCCTCCCTCACTTGCTATCACCCATCCTATGCCCCGCTACCACTAGCCCTGCATGCCTTCTGTACTGCCTACGCAATCACTTGGCACACCTTCCTAACTGCACCAAACATAGCAACTGTGCCACTCCCTTTAATCTCCCCTAATTTCTCCCTTTTTTCTCATTCCAGGAAGAAAATAGCCTACGACAGGGCAGAAAGAGCCAAGGCAGATGAGGGACTGCACAACATTTGGCTCCTTACCCCTTATGAAGAGAGGATCCAGACTTTGACTGCTTCAGTTGGTTTACTAACCATGTCCAGGTCAGGGGGTTGCCCTTAACTTACTATGCTGGGGACCTCAGAGCAAAAGCTATCTCCTTTGACTTGAGTGAAGACAAGTTTCCTGGCTTTGTGTCTGCACTAAATAGCATAGGAATACAGCAATACTATGAGCCTGGTACCTCTGGCTGAGGGACATGGAGCAAAAAGGCAGATTATGCCGATGTAAGGCAGGGATAACAAGCCTGGTGATGAAGGCTAGTCCAGCTATGGCTGGGTACATGTCCTTGAGCGTACAGTGTCCTCTTTGGACTTCTCGTGTGATTCTATCACATCTCTCACCATTGTCCATGTCATTCAGGACCCTAGAGTATATTGCACTTTCTCTCCATAGCGGAATTAGATACAGATTGAGAAAAGTCAAAATGGAGCCAGAACTAGGAAAGTTAACTAATATTGTCAGAAATCTAGAAGCAGCTGTGAAGAGAGAAAGAGAGTTGATGTTTGAGGTTGGTTATCCTTCCATGTTTCTTTCTTCACAGATGATGCCAGAACTACTGAGCATTTCCAGAAATTCCTGTTTGTATTTCAGATTTCCAGAATTTTTTGCTTTCTTACTAACTACAGTAAAGCTCATCCAAAGTCTTTAAAGATAAATGACAAGTGCATGAGTGATGTTGCAATGAAAATAGCGGTAATTGTTTTGGAACAACAAAAGGCACCTGGGTTACAATAGTGGGTCAGTGTTTCCATTCAAGCATAAGACTGGAAATTGAACTCCAGAGATACTGTGACAACTAACATTAAAATAATTGATTTTTTTTAAAAAGGAAATAAACTTGTTCTACAGTATTTTGATGCATGCAGATCATTTGGTGAGGTCTGCCTATAAAATAGAATCCCACTCTGAAACAAAAAGGATGACAGGCTGAATCTTGTACGTTTTTACTTAAGTGTCAGTTTAATACATTTTTTTGGAGGGTTTCTCACAGTGTGGCCTGAGAGATGTTTCATCATGACTCTACAAACTTACATCATTAATTATCTACCCTGCCATTAAGGCAACCCTCTTGTTCAATTCTAGCTCTATCTTACCATGCACCATTGCCAGAAGAGTTAACCACTCACTGGATATCCCCTTGAAGACCAGCATCCCTGGTTCCTGTGGCATCTTTGAAAGGCCACTGCTGTGCACCTAGACAAGCTTTGGTAAACCTCACCACAACTTTACAACACAGCAGGCACAAAGCCTCGCATGGCCAGCATGGATGGCACCTCCTTGCACTTACAACCCCATTCTCATACCCCAGTTACTGTTACCTCTCCTTAGCTACATCTTGCCTAAACACCCTCTTGAATTAACTGATACTTTGCTCCCAATGCCCACTGTAGACCCACATCTTGTTGTTGTCCAGTACGGGAACATCACACACTGACAAGCAATCGGACAATTACCAACATGAGCTTTTATTTGCAGTCAGCAAAAGTGAACACAAACAAAATGAGTACAGGCTGCAGCTTGCCCCTGCATTGCAAACCAGTTGCTGTCATCATGATCAATGGCTACTTACATTCCATGATGGTCTGTTGCACTCAGCTTTCAATCACTGGAACTGGATGTCAGTCAGGTCCTGTCTGCCTCTAGCGGCTCATGCAGTTGAGCTCTATCACGTACAAGGAGAGTTTCCTCCTCTCCAATGTCTTCATCCTTTTCCTCAGAAGATTACTCCTCTTCTTCCAGTTTTTCAGGGTCTATCACTTTGCCTCATTACATGCTCTGATTGTGCAGAGCACATCATGCCAGGCTGATGTGGCACACTCTGCCTCAAGCAAATCAGGTTCTTCGGTTCAGAAGAGTCAACGGTGAAATTTCCTATAGATGAGAGTTGCACATACTCCTCCATATTGTGTGCCATTCCATACCCTGATAATGAGGGCCTTGTCTCCATCATTAATTCAGCTTCAGCCTCAGCATGTACATCAACTTGGTGAAGCTGTTGGCCCAGTGATCAACACGTAGCAAGAAAAAGGAACTGCCTGCTGTGTTCTAACCCCTTCCCATCTCAGAGCCACAACAACAATTTAACTTATCATTGAATTCAGCACAGTCCATTGTAATGCTTACGTGACAATATGGAAGCCCACATCCACTCTCCACCATGGCCATTTGGTTGATTAAACTTGTTTCATACACAGTCAGACGGACACATGCTGTAGGTGGTAGATTGATGTCTTGTCGTACTAGATGCAGCAAGATGCCCTGCCCCCCATCCCCAGACAGAGCTTTATGAACAAGAAGAACAAGCAGCCTATCTGTATCTGTGCAAAGGAGTATGTCAAATTGACACCACCTTTAGGCATGGCATAGCATGGCAAGACATGGATACTACAAACATGCAGGTAGATGCTAAATGACCAAATGAACAGCCATGAGTGAGCTGCGTGCCTGCCCCTGTGGACAAAATCTCCTTGCAGCTGCCTTTCATTGCTGTCTGCTGTTGTGCCCTGCAATACAAGTCTGTACTTCCTAAGCATCTGGCAAATGGACCTCAGAGGAGCCATGAGGACCCTGGGTGGGAGGAAGGTGGAAAATCTCGGATTGCAATGCCTGTGGGCAAGGTAATTTAACATTCACCATCAAGTGGAAAATATGTTGGCTTAGCACAACTGATCAGCCAGAGTGGGGAATTTTGTGAAGCCTACAGGAAGAAGAAACATGGCATACAGAGTAACTAAATTAAAAGGGAGCCATATGTTCACTTGCTAAACACTCGGTTGAGATGTAGATGTCAAAACCGCAGTGTGTCTGTGTTAGTTTAGGCCTCATACTGTCCTCTGGTTCTCACCTGTAACATATTCATATGCCATGAATACTTACTTAGGTAAAACAACTTCAAACTCAGCCAACCCTCAAAATATCCTCCATGCAACATGAGAACAGGATGGCATCTCATTCATATTCTTGCAAAGGTAGCATGCACTAGACAGCTTTGTGCAGCTGAGTGGGCTCCATGGTTTTGCTTGTAAAACTCTGTAGCTCAAGTGAGACGAGCAGAAAAATGACAGCTTGCATGGAGGCTTGAGACTGGCAAAGCTGAATCAGGTGTGAAGGGAGTGTGGTTTAAATTTAAAGGCTACCTATGCTGGGGTGATCTCAATAAGTTTCACGTTAGTGACAATGGAATTGGTAGGAACATTTGGCTGAGATGCAGGGCCTCCCTGTTTGACCCAGAGGCACTTTTATATTCTGCTTGAAGCTGCAGCATTGTTGATGAACTGTGGTTATCACGAATGAAAAGCGTCTCAGTCACAGAATCACAGACCTTTACTGTGTGCAGCACCAATACTTTAAATTTTATTTCTTGTTTGACCAGAAGCAGCATCGAGCAAATAATTGGAAGTGGTGCACGATTCTGGCTCTTCCACTGATAATGACATACTGCAGTTAAAATTCTACACAGTAGATTACACTGAAAATGTTCTATTTAATGCAGTCTGTCTTCCGATAACAAATATATTAGCTAATTTCTTTTTGACTGGCAGTATTTCAAAAATGTACCTCAAAGTTATTAACACTTTGACATAAGAAAAATAACAATGTTTTACCGAATAGGGTTTTCAATTCGATTGTTGGTCAAGATGGCCGTTAAGTTTGCAGTGTATGTTGAGATGATTATAAAAACAAAAAGCCACCAAAATCCCATCAACAAGCGAACTGCCAAAGTATTAATGGGGATGTCTCCTCCTGTTCCTAGAAAAGAAAAGTAACACAATTTAATGAAAAACAGCATCATCTTTCTGATTTAAATTGACTCTTGGAGACAAATCTTCAGGTAATTACAAATTATAAAATGTACCAGATGGCGAGTTAATTATTTGGAGGATGGTTCCAAATAATATTTTAGTACATCATAATCTACTGCCCAGAGCTCTACAGCATGGGATGCTGATTATATGTCACTGATGTTTATCTACTTCATCCAGCTGCAACTGTGCCTCAGGGTAGGCTTAATATTTAGATATTTCACTCACTGACACTTGCAATGCTCCCCTCAAGGATCTCTCTGAGGCTGTGTGAAAACTTGGATCCTGGGTTTTGTTCCTGGTTGGGTGCATGGGGGGGTGGGATTTTTAACTCGACAAACTCAACCCTTACAGATGGCTGCCTGCACTCCAAATTTTCAGTCTGGGAGTGATGGTCTGAATTGTAAGTTGGATGAGGCAACTTACAAATTGCTGAAGATGCAGACAGCTGCTGAGAAAGGTGGGTGGAAAGCCTATCCCGGGAACATGTCCGAAACTTAAAAGTTAAGAACAAAATGTAAAAAAAAATCTCTCCATCCCTCATGCCTCATTTCCCACTCTCCCTCATGCATTCCCCTGCCCCATCCATGCTTCCCTATGCCAATCTACTCATCCCTATGCCCATCCACACATATCCCATTGCTGCTCATTCCCTAATGCCTATTACCACTCACAACACTTTCCCCTTTATCTACCATGCCAACTCAACTAGTATCTACAAGTAGCTGTGCACTCAGAGAAGAAATAAATTCTAATGATTTAAGTTTTATATTGCAAACTATATTCTTTTGAAGGAAGCACTTGTACTAATAAAAGCACATATTGCCAGGTCTTGGCTGCTTTACTCTTCTTGAAGGTTCCTGACAGATGTTGACAAGTTTGAAATTTGACAGCTTTGACAATTCATAGCATCCCCATCGTGTGGTAACAGGTCATTTGGCCCAACAAGACCACACCGACTCTCCGAAGACCATCCTACCCAGACCCAGCCCCCTACCCTATCCCTGTAACCCTGCATCTCCCATGGCTAATCCATCTAACTTACACATCTTTGGACTGTGGGAGGAAACTGGAGTACCTGAAGGAAACCCACGCAAACACGGGGAGAATGTGCAAACTCCACACAGACAGTCACCCTCTGGTAAAATTTAACTTGGGTTCCTGCTGTTGTGAGGCAACAGTGCTAACTACTGAGCCACCGTGTTGCCCCAGTTCTTGATAGGTGTTACTGTTTTTGACAGCTCTTGACAGTTCTTGAAAGGTTTGGCACCTCTTGACTACCTTGATAGATTTCACAATTCTTAGTAGGTTTTGGTTGAAATGTCTTTGAAAATCCAATGCTTCTTGTGAGGTCATGACTATTAGGGCAACTCTTGGCAGCTTTTCTAGAGGTTTGACATTTACAAAGGTTTATGCTCCTTTTACTCTCAATCATTTCTACAATTAACAAGTGAAACTCCTCCCTTCACATAAGGTACTTGAGTCTCCACCAAAAGGATGTACAAACCACCTTCCATATTAATCTGACCTATCAACACCTTTTCTCTACCAGCACCCTACATCTACACCAGAAGGATGCACAAACCACCTTACATATTAATCTGAACTATCAACACCTTTTCTCCACCAGCACCCTCCATCCCCTCCAAACTATAGCATGAATGCCGTCCCCTGCACACTTCACTTCAGTTCTGATGAAGAGTCATCTAGACTCAAAATATTAGCTTGTTCTCTCTTCATGGATTCTGTTTGATCAACTGTGATCGCCAAGATTTGTTGTTTTCAGTGCCGATTCCAGCATCTGCAGTAATTTGCTCCCATCTTCTCAAAGGGTAGCCAAGCCCTCTGCCTAAGTTTTCAGAGACCATTTCATAGGGGTACCTCTGCTCTGCAAAGAGCTACTCTGGCTATCCAAAGGATGTGCACATCTTCTAAATTAGTCTGTTTTCTGCACTGTGTGTTCGATGTAACCGGGTTACCAAAATGGAAATTAACTGAAGACAGCTGACTACATAACTCGTCAAGTGCCTCCAGGAACTGTGTGTGTGTGAAGCTCAGCTCCTATTGCATCCAAGTGAAAATCGACAGTTCCGAGTTTGGAACCAGAACATACAATTTCAGGCATTGTCTACCATGTTTTGAAGAGGCTCATTAGACAGGCAAAAATCTGGAAGATGATCTTACTGACTAGCCAACCCAATGCAGATCTCATTCAGGATTAAAAAAAATTGGTAAAGGGGATATCAAACAAGTAATAGTTACTGAAACCTGATTCACACATGGAAAATTTTCTGAAGAAGGGTCTAGGCCGGAAACATCAGCCTTCCTGCTCCTCTGATGCTGCTTGGCCTGCTGTGTTCATCCAGCGCTACACCTTGTTATCTCAGATTCTCCAGCATCTGCAGTTCCTACTGTCTCTCCACTACCACCTATCAGATTGACTGTCATTGTAACAGCAGATGGAAGAATCATGCTACACAGGGTACCTGTCCTGAATGTCATACAATGTTAGATAGCTGTCTGAGGGAGTGTTATTGTTTTTGTAACACCTTGCATAGCATAACAAATCACCATTGCTCTATATGGAAGCATCACATGTTGAAAAAACATTCAAACAGTCATAAACATTAGCTTTCATTGAACAACAGTAAAAAAATGAAGAAAAGTAAGCAACAAAACAAATCTCTTTTTGCTTCTGGGAACCATTTGAGTTTCGAGCAACAACAATTTTATAGTCAAGGAATGATCAATGCACCCAACTCATATCTATTGGAACCAGCTGTCAAGTAATGCCTTTTTGGATTGTTGTATCTCATGCAGCAGTGTTTAATCATGCAGAAGATAATGTTCCTCCTGCTCAACATCTTCGTAAGTGGCATGCCATTGCTCTCCTAACTCTTCAACATCTATCACTTCCCCCCTTTGTTGACTCTAGACGTGCCAAGCACAACATGCTAGAATTATGTAGCACACTCTGTCTGGACTTTACTGAAAGATACTCCCAGACCAATCAAAGCATCTTCCACAGGCCAGAGATATTTCTGAAGAAAGGTCTAGGCCTGAAACGTCAGCTTTCCTGCTCCTCTGATGCTGCTTGGCCTGCTGTGTTCATCCAGCTCTACACCTTGTTATCTTCCACAGGCCTATTGTTGCACTACCATGGTCTTATTAGAAGAATGGACTGCATTGTAAATACTTTTTTGCCTCGGTCAGGAGTGTATGACAGAGTCAACAACTATTGAAGACTTCTAAGATGAGGTGACAGTGATCACTGGTGACTTGAATTTTGATGGAATGGAAACCCTTTCTGTTGATGAAGTGAGCTGCATTATGATATGGTACTCTCAACCCAATATGCGTACAGTCAGTAGCCCCTTGCAGCGAGGGGAAGTGAGTTGTACTGGTAATGCCAGTAGTCTGAGTTGCAGAACCTATCAAGTGGGAAATGAGGTGAAGTGGCGTGATCTGGCACAAACTACGTCCATGGCAGCGCAGATACATTTGTGCATTGAGGATTGAAAGATCTCACAATTGCTCTGTGGATCATAGGAATTAGCCAGTTGTTATAATATGTAGCGCAAGTTCCCCTTGAGGGAAAATGAGATTGGTTGGTCACCATCCCTTTAGGTTAGAAGTTCTGCTCCAGACATCAGCAATCTTCTGTGAAGTCATCCTGGGACATCCAGTCTTTGACAACAATTCATCTGAAGAAAATGGAATGGAGGACAAAAGGCCCTGGGCCTCCTGTACCTCCACTATGTCACCTGAGACTTCATCATGTAGAGGTTGCTGGAGATTACTGATTCTTCCTGGGTTTGCTGGTGCATCTGTTGCTCGTTGATTTCTCTGCACCTTCGTAGCGCTGGAGCAACAGTGACAATGACATCTGCTGTGGCGAGATCTATTGACCATGCTTCCAATGACCTGTGTGGGATACACAGTATCAGGAAAAGTATGGGTTCTTAGCAAGATGAGCTGTCAGCGCTCTCATACAGGTTGAGTGAGAAGCCAAGAACTTGATGGATGCACAATAATGTGAGAAAATATGAGGTTATGCACTTTGGCAAGAATACAGGAGCTGAATATTCTTGAAAAAAAGAGAAAGACTGTGGAAAGCTGCAGCACAAAGGGGTTTGGAGTTCATGATGTATAAATCACAAAAAGATGGCACCCAATTTCAGCAGGTAATAAGGAAGGCAAATGGAAGTTAGTCTTTATTGCAAAGGGAATGGAGTATACAAATAGGTAGGCCTTACTAAAACTATACAAGACATTAATCAGACATAATTTAGAATACTGTGATGAGATTTCATCACCATGTCTATGGGAAGATGTATTGGGAGCAGTCCAGAGAAGGTTCACTGTGTTGATGCTGTGGGTGGAGGGATTTTCTTATGAGAGGTTGAGATGATTGGATCTGTAGTCATTGGAGTTTAGAAGAATGAGATGAGAACACATCGAACCATTAGGGGGCTCTTAGGGGGCTTGACAGGGTAGACGCAGAGGTTACTCCCCCTTGTGAGAGAGTCTAGAACCAGAGAGTATAATCTAAGATAAGGGATTGCCCAGTTACGACAAAAATGAGGGGGAAATTCTTCTCTCGCAGGGTAGCGAATCTGTGGAATTCTTTACAGACGATTGTGGAGGCTGGTTTATAAGCATATTCAAGGCTTTGATAGATTTTTCATTAGTATAGGCATCAAGGGTTATGGAGATAAAGCAAGAAAAGGAGTTGAGGATTATGGCAGAGCAGACTCGTGGCTTAAACAGCTTACTTCTGTTCACAAGTCTTATTGACTTAAGGACCTCATTAATACTGAGCTTCAATATGTTCCCATCCAACTGTTCTATTTAAGTCTTCATCCACCAACATTGCAATCTTTGTCTCCAACCTACAACATAATTATGTCAACCATCACACTAAACCATGGAAGGTAAGCTTATTTTGACCATTGATGACCCCTCTCCCATAATAACCATGTCCTCCAAT